TTCAAAAAATCTGCACTGAGATTTCCAATCCAAAATACTGAAGAAGAGTCAATCTCTGTCGTCATCAACAATTGGTAAACCTTTTCTTTTGGCACTTCTACCAGACAGCCGTCTGGCGTACATTTTATTGTACAATTCAATCTACACAATGCATCTCTTCCCAACAATGCAATAGGTGTATGTTCCGATACCAGTATGGGTATTGTAATGTTTGGATTTTTATAGCAGAGCTCAATTGGTTCCGTAAGAGGAATCAGCTGTTTCACTCCCTCAAATCCGATTGTACTAATTAGTTGATTGGACATGGGGAGATGTGTAGCATCTTCAGGCCGAACACAGGTGAAAGCAGCTCCGCTATCCGCCATCACTTCCAATGGTCGATTGTTTACTTTCACCTCAATTGTTGGATCTTTTTCCGGTCCTGATGCTACCAGCTGACACCCCCCTTTCGGATCTTCTGGGCACCTCTAGAATCCTGGCTCCGGGCCCCTATAAGGGTTCACCGGTCCTCCAAATGATCTTGACTGGCCCCTGTATCTTCCTCTGAAATTCCCTCTGGTGTTTCCTCCTGGCCCATTACACTCACGGGCAAAGTGACCAACCTGTCCACAATTATAACACACTTCTGAAGATTGCTGGAAGTATGGCTTAAATCTGCCTCCTCTTCCTCTTCCTAAGCCTTCTCGTCCTCTTCCTCTCCAATTCTGTGTCTGTCCAGAAACTGGCTGTGGATATGAAACAACTGGTCCCACTAGTGGTGGCTGGTACAATTGCGGTTGGACCTGGTTCGGTTGAAGCTGTGGCAGTGATTGTTGATTTGGTGAACACTGATTCTGCATAACCAAAGCCTGTTTCTTCTCCTTCTTCTTATTCTCCACCAGTTGTATTTGATTGAGTTTTCTGAGAGTTTCTTGGTCCTGTTCTTTCTGGTTGTGTTCCTTTTTCCGGTACAGATCCACTTGATGGGCTATATGATCTGTATAGACACCTTTTGTCATGCTTCCAAGTCCAACCACCTCTGCCAGTTTGCTCCTTACTGGTGAGGGCAGCCCCATCTGCAGTTTAGCTCGCAAAATTGACTGCTCAATTTGACTCACATCTGGATCATTTCCAGTAATATTTCTCCACACTTGATGAGCTCTTGACACATAGGCTCTCGGATTTACTTGTTGTCCTAGTGGGTCAATCAGAATGTTGTCAGGATGCACATTTGTTGGAAACGTATCTTTCAGTGCTCTCCACAGCCTCTACTTGCAGCTAACAATTCAGGATCATTCACCGCAGTCCCCACATATCGATTAAGTCCAGCTCTCTGAAAAAGTTCTTCCATACCTGGAATCCCAAGGAGATTAGCCAAAAGTCTCTTAATGTCTCCTATGGCAGACTGTGTTCCCACCGTAATTTCTTCCAACTTAGAAATCCAAGGATATGCTCCATCTTGAAGAGTAGGCAGCTTCTCAAGTATATCTGACATATCGGTATTCTGCAAAGGCTTATTCTCCAGGTTCTGTCCTCGAATTATCACTGGCATCATCTTCTTACTTGTGCTCTCTTTTCTTGTCCGCAATGTATATTTCCTCTCCAATTTTTGATATTCTTTTTTCAGCAGTTTTTCCTTCTGTATCTTCAACTTCTTGAGTTGTTCTTCCAATTCTCTTACTTCTTCTAAATTATTCGCCTTATCCAAGCATGATATGCATCGATCCATATCTCTTTCTATTTCTTCTGTGCTAGTCATTGTAGAATAAAATCCTCTTGAACATGAAGCACCTTTAATCTCCAAATCTTCATCGCTGGCTTCATCTTGACTTTCATCAGAGCTCGATTCTCTTGTATCCTTCTTCTTCCAACTTCCATCACCCCTTCTTTCCGCTCTGGCCAACCTCTGTCTGATCACAGGGTCATATCCACCCATGATCTCTTCTGAATCACTCTGATCATCATCATCATCATCTTCAAATTCCATCCTCCTAAACCTCACTCTACCCTTAGTTTCCAGACATGTCGTTTTCTTCTTACTTTTGGAGTTTAGATTCAACTTTATGGTTGTTTCTGCTTGTCCTCTCTCTGTTATTCGTTCATCTTCATCTCTGATGCAATAATCACCCTCCTGAATGATCATTGGAAGCTGAGGATAGACGTCCTTAAACTCTACTTCTTCTTCGTAAGGTGGGGGCTTTTTGCTGAATCCGTATGTGAGAAAGGTGTATTGTCTTCTGCCATTAGTTTTTCTGTTACCTTCGCCTCTTTTGCCATTTTCTCTATACCTCTGTCTCTTTTATCTTTTGTATCTTTTATCAGTTTTTGTCCCTTATTTTCAAACAACTTAAGAACACCCAGCTCTCTTTGTCTCTTTTCTTTACGTTGTTCCCCTTTTTTCCCCTTCTTTTGATCTGCCTTATACAGTGGGGAAAAAAAGTATTTAGTCAGCCACCAATTGTGCATGTTCTCCCACTCAAAAAGATGAGAGAGGCCTGTAATTTTCATCATAGGTACACGTCAACTATGACAGACAAAAAAAAGATGAGAGAGGCCTGTAAAAAGATGAGAGAGGCCTGTAAAGACAAAATGAGAAAATAAAATCCAGAAAATCACATTGTAGGATTTTTTATGAATTTATTTGCAAATTATGGTGGAAAATAAGTATTTGGTCAATAACAAAAGTTTCTCAATACTTTGTTATATACCCTTTGTTGGCAATGACACAGGTCAAACATTTTCTGTAAGTCTTCACAAGGTTTTCACACACTGTTGCTGGTATTTTGGCCCATTCCTCCATGCAGATCTCCTCTAGAGCAGTGATGTTTTGGGGCTGTCACAGGGCAACACGGACTTTCAACTCCCTCCAAAGATTTTCTATGGGGTTGAGATCTGGAGACTGGCTAGGCCACTCCAGGACCTTGAAATGCTTCTTACAAAGCCACTCCTTCGTTGCCCGGGCGGTGTGTTTGGGATCATTGTCATGCTGAAAGACCCAGCCACGTTTCATCTTCAATGCCCTTGCTGATGGAAGGAGATTTTCACTCAGAATCTCACGATACATGGCCCCATTCATTCTTTCCTTTACACGGATCAGTCGTCCTGGTCCCTTTGCAGAAAACAGCCCCAAACCATGATGTTTCCACCCCCATGCTTCACAGTAGGTATGGTGTTCTTTGGATGCAACTCAGCATACTTTGTCCTCCAAACACGACGAGTTGAGTTTTTACCAAAAAGTAATATTTTGGTTTCATCTGACCATATGACATTCTCCCAATCCTCTTCTGGATCATCCAAATGCACTCTAGCAAACTTCAGATGGGCCTGGACATGTACTGGCTTAAGCAGGGGGACACGTCTGGCACTGCAGGATTTGAGTCCCTGGCGGCGTAGTGTGTTACTGATGGTAGGCTTTGTTACTTTGGTACCAGCTCTCTGCAGGTCATTCACTAGGTCCCCCCGTGTGGTTCTGGGATTTTTGCTCACCGTTCTTGTGATCATTTTGACCCCACGGGGTGAGATCTTGCGTGGAGCCCCAGATCGAGGGAGATTATCAGTGGTCTTGTATGTCTTCCATTTCCTAATAATTGCTCCCACAGTTGATTTCTTCAAACCAAGCTGCTTACCTATTGCAGATTCAGTCTTCCCAGCCTGGTGCAGGTCTACAATTTTGTTTCTGGTGTCCTTTGACAGCTCTTTGGTCTTGGCCATAGTGGAGTTTGGAGTGTGACTGTTTGAGGTTGTGGACAGGTGTCTTTTATACTGATAACAAGTTCAAACAGGTGCCATTAATACAGGTAACGAGTGGAGGACAGAGGAACCTCTTAAAGAAGAAGTTACAGGTCTGTGAGAGCCAGAAATCTTGCTTGTTTGTAGGTGACCAAAAACTTATTTTCCACCATAATTTGCAAATAAATTCATTAAAAATCCTACAATGTGTTTTTCTGGAGAAGAAAAATCTCAATTTGTCTGTCATAGTTGACGTGTACCTATGATGAAAATTACAGGCCTCTCTCATCTTTTTAAGTGGGAGAACTTGCACAATTGGTGGCTGACTAAATACTTTTTTCCCCCACTGTATGTCAGTCAGCATGGCTTCAAAGCCGGTCCACTGTCTTTTGTATTTAATATAGTGTTGCCATCAAGATCATCATTAATCATGATGTTTTATCATTGTAAAATCTTCAAGTAAAAGTGCACATAATTCATCATGTGATCTTAGTAGGTTTATAATGTGTCTGAAGCGTACAATGTAACACTCATGATGTGAAAGTACTTAAACCACTGTGGAGAATATGTATTTTTTAATGATACAGCACTTGTGTGATTAGAGCAAATTAAATAATTGCATAGTATGTGCCACACTCACAATAAAGTCCAAAGCTACCCAGTATTTCTAGAAATCTCAAAGACACCTTAAGCTGAAGATTCAATACTGCATTAACCCAATTAACAACGCTCCTAGCTCTTCCTTGGGTTTGCCTTCAGTCCCAGGCCCCTGCCACTTGTATCTTCCATGACATGAGAGACTTATAAAGCAAAGCCGGTTCAGAAGGGAAACCCGAGTGTCTGCATCAGCTGAGATTGTACCAATCAGATGCTAACAACACTTCCTACCTTAATATGGCGGTCTATTTAAGCTGACCAGGTTCTGCTCAGACATCCTCTGCTGCCGCTTGCTGCTACTGCTAGTATGCGTTTGTTTTTCTTGCTGCCCACCACCACCCAAACCACCACCACCCCAACCTCCACCTGTTTGGTTCTGTTTTCCTTCCTGCAGGTGGATTGGTATAGCACACCTGTAGTTACTTTAATATATGTTGACGCTTTGCTCTGGCAGTGAGCTACCCTAAAGCGGCAGAGCCTATTGCCAAGACCTAATGTATTGTTTATGTTTTCTAATAAATGGTTAAATGAATACTTGGTCTTTCCTTTCTGAACTGTATTTATGCCTGGAGAGGGAGTCCTCGAGAGGGAGATGCTGAGAGAGCTTCTCAGACTGGCTGTTTCTTTATGTGTCTTTATATCCTCCTCTCTACCCTCGTCATGGCAGCTGATTCTAATGAGCCCCCTAGTCCAAACCAACACTTGAAGGGCAACAGGACACTCAGACTCTCCCACAGGGGCTCCATAGCCTTCATAGCTTCTGTAAGAGTCAAAATGAGATGTTTGATTGTCAGATGCCTGATTGTTCCAGTAACTATATTATTAGTGATTATTCTTGATTAGATCATTCTTACCTGCTGCCCTAGAGCTTGCATAGAGTGGAACTCGATCTGTTCCCTCTTGATTCTGACCCAGTCAGGCTCGGCTGGTATCATAAAAGCTAGAATCATCTTGACCAGGATCAGGACATGCTGACAAACAAACACACATACACCTATGTCAGTTGGGCAGATGATGACACCGTAACATGCTGTGAATAAGACAACTGCTATGAACCATATACTGTACTGTTATGAACAAGATACTGTACCTCCACCAGGAAGGCTCCCCTCATACTGTACCTCGACCAGGATGGCGAAGAGTATGATGTTCTTGCCGCTGATCCCTCCCTCCAGACAGAACTTCTGGACGCGAGGGGACAGCAGCAGCAGCCAGCAGTTAGACATGACTGAGACAAAGCCCAGAACCTCAAACGCTGTCTGAAACATACACAGGCATACATAAATATGGTTACAGGAACATACAAGGACACAAGCAAATACATGCAAATTTACACAGTGACGTAGATGGGCACTGATTAGAAAATTACATTGACCACTACATGCTGCTTACATCTATTTATTTACCAGATTTAGCTACATAGCTACTTTCTGTCTGCAGTAAAAATGCCCTCTCTTTTTGTTCAAATTCTCACATTCCCTCGCCCAAAACCCTCCTAACCTGCCACACCCCCATGTTGGACACAGGGGCAGAGAATGGCTTCCGGAACAGTTTACAAATCTTGTAGGCATCCCCTGGGATCTCTGTGATGTTGTTGAGGAGCAGGAGGACGGCGGTGAGCGGGTACACACAGGAGAACAGACTCAAATATCCAAACTTCAGCAGCAACTCAATGTACTCCGCAAACAGGCCCTGAAACGTAGCAACAGACGCAATAAGTTAATCACCAAAACAAAGAGACCCCTAACATACGACATGCAAATACACCCAACCTTGATTCTACCCCCTAAGGCACAGATACAAAGAAACCAAGGCAGACGAGCACAATGAAGCAAAACAGAGAAAAACAAAACAGACAAACACATTTTACAAGGACTTACTGGAAAGGGTGGAAGGCTTCTCTGAGCTCTGAGTTTGTCCACCTCTAGGTTGTCCTCCTGCTCTTTCTTATGGGGAGCACTGAGGAAGCGGTCGACTATAAATGGCACCACAACCTCTGTAAGCTGGTTCACCAGCTGGTTCCAAATTAGCAGAGAGGCAAGCTTCTGTGTGCACAAATCGATAAATCAAACATAAAGTGTTGCATACTGTATACACACAAACACAAACACACACACACACACACACACACACACACACAAACACAAGATCTACCCTTTATTAACATGAGGTATTTCCACATTGTATAACATTTCCTCTAGCCACTCAGACAAACTGTGCTGCCCAGATGAAATATCTTACCTTGCGTAGCAGTGGTAGGTCCTGTTTGTAGAAGGCAATGTGGAAGAGCACAGCAAAGTTGTTGAAGAAAGTGAACTGAAAATGAGAGAGGGAGATTTTGGCTTCAAGTAATATCTCTGGAGGCATGAATACAGATCCTGTGTTACTGTATCTGATGTGCCTCCCACATCTGCTTATACATACACAGCTGATACTATCTGCACACTCACTACACCTACCTGTATCACAATACATTTAGCCTATCTGTACTACACCTACCTGTATCACAATACATTAGCCTATCTGTACTACACCTACATTGGCATATTGGACACCCCGCAGCCCCCACAAGGCAGAGCCAATGAGCTCTGGGGGCCCATGTGCCTGTCGATTACAATGTCTATTTAGTTTTATTTCATTAATCATTTTGACAGTAACCCTCCAAAAAGTAATTATGTTACAGGAGGGGGTCGCAGTTACAGGAGGGGGTCGCAGTTCCAGAGCGATCTAATAGGTGTCCTCCTCCGACAACCTTAGGCACCTCCTCACTCACAGTCTGGACTAATCTTGATCCTATTGGTGTCACCTGTGTCTACCTGTTCACCTGTGTATTTATGCCCTCACTTCCCTGTGTTCCCTTGCTCAGTTTCCTCTGCTAGTTTCTCTATGCCCAGCAGGACTAATCAGTGTTTTTGTGTCCTGGCTTCGGGACCACCAGTAAAGATTATTGTTTCACCATCTCTGCCTACTGCCTACTGTCTATCCTGCACCGCACCTGGGTCACACCTCACACCAACCCTTACATCATTCATAAACTTATTTTATTTCCATATGTATTAGGAAGGTAAGTATTTGTTTCTTGGGCTTCAAGAATGTGACTGACCAAAGTTCCCCAGGCCTTGAAAAATAAACAATTGAACTGATTGAAAGTAAGGGGATATCGGTGAACAAATTCTGTGGTCAAGGCTACACCGGAACCAGTGCAATGAGAGGAGCATACTTAGGTGTTCAAAGGCACATATCAGACCGAGAGCCTAATTCTTATTTTTAAGTAGTTCTTTATGAGTTTTAGTTGTGAAAACGATCTCGCCGCAGAAGCGACAATTACAGGGATGGTTAAAAACAGCTTGATTTCCGTAGCAACATCAGGGAAACTGGGCAGAAGTACGTGGTGATTCAAATAGACCTACAGCAGTTCTGCAACGTCTTTAATTGCGCCTCTTGCGTTCTCCTTAATTGCCGGCCTCAACAAGTTACGGAAAGAGATTAACTGTATAGGTCGTCTGGATACTGGACAGCCAATAAATTGGCAGATGCAGACAGATTATCATCTTTAGCGGACAATAGCTCTTGAGGGCTCAAACAAAAAAAGCGGTTTTCTTCATACTGGTGAACCGACGTTTGATATGTGTGGTTGTAATATCATCAGTCCTTTATCTTTGGTATATCTTGGCATGCATCATTCAAAACTAAGTTTAAATTGTGTGCAGTCCAATGGACATATAGGCTAATGCAAAATCTCTCAATAGGACATTAGAAGACCAAGGGAGTCTCTGAAGTTGGATTTTAATTACATTTACTTTAATTGCAGCCCATTTGTGTAGGCTAATAGCCAGACAAAACCTGCTAAGTTCAACAGTACATTTTTTTCGTAATTGTTAGGCTATTTGATGTATAATTTTTTATAAGAAAGTGTATAAATAGCAGCTAAATACTGTATATAGCTATAGATAGTAAGCTACACTGCATAATGAAACAATACAAAGGAAGCTAGTGTTTTAAGGATGGACTGACAGTATTATTTGGCATTAATAGACTAGTTTTATGCACAACAACATTCTATCCAAGCTGGGAGAGAGCGCGAGGACAGCTCATGTCATGCAGGTTCAGGTAGCCTATACAGGACAGTTGTGTTTTTTTTTAAATCAATTGGTTGCTGATTAGTATGCTGTTGTATCGAAAATGTATTTTACAATGTTTGAATTTCCAACTTTAATTACTAAACAAGTAATTACATTATTGCTGCCAGCCAGCAGTCTAAACCATGGCAGCCTTGCAACACCATGTATTCGTGAAATGTTAGGCTTATGAGAAAAATCCTCATCAATCTACACACAATACCCCATAATGACAATGTGAAAACTGGTTTTTGGACATTTTTGCTAATGTTTACAAAAGTATTCAGACCCTTTGCTATGAGACTCGAAATTGAGCTCAGGTGCATCCTGTTTCTATTGATCATCCTTGAGATGTTTCTACAACTTGATTGGAGGCCACCTGTAGTAAATTCAATTGATTGGACATGAACAGCATACTAATGACTAAAATGTAAAATGTAATGATTTGGAAATGTCACGCCCTGGCTCTGGGGACTCTTATATGTTGAGCCAGGGTGTGTAGGGTCTATGTTTTGTGTTCTATGTTCAGTTTCTAGTTCATGTGTTTTCTAGGTTGGCCGGGGTGGTTCTCAATCAGAGGCAACGAGAATCAGCTGTTGCTTGTTGTCTCTGATTGGGAACCATACTTAGGCAGCCTGTTGTGCACTTGTGTTTTGTGGGATCTTGTTCCGTGTTGGTTTGTGTTCATGACCAAGGACTTCACGTTTCGTTTTGTTGTTTTGTATTTTGTATCGTGTTGCTAGTACACTATTAAAGAGATGTACGCATATCACGCTGCGCCTTGGTCTGCTTCGTATGACGATCGTGACAGGAAAGGCACACACCTGTCTATATAAGGTCCCACAGTTGACAGTGCATGTCAGAGCGAAAACCAAGCCATGAGGTCGAAGGAATTGTCTGTAGAGCTCCGAGACAGGATTGTGTCGTGGCACAGATCTGGGGAAGGGTACCAAAACATTTCTGCAGCATTGAAGGTCCCCAAGAACACAGTGACCTCCATCATTCTTAAATGGAAGAAGTTTGGAACCACCAAGACTCTTCCTAGAGCTGGCATCCCGGTCAGAGAGGTGACCGAGAACCCGATGGTCACTCTGATAGAGCTCCAGAGTTCCTCTGTGGAGATGGGAGAACCTTTCAGAAGGACAACCATCTCTGCAGTACTCCACTAATCAGGCCTTTATGGTAGAATGGCCAGACGAAAGCCACTCCTTAGTAAAAAGCACATGACAGCCCGCTTGGAGTTTGCCAAAAGGCACTTAAAGACTCTCAGACCATGAGAAACAAGATTCTCTGGTCTGATGAAACCAAGATTCAACTCTTTGGCCTGAATGCTAAGAATCACATCTGGAGGAAACCTGGCACCATCCCTACTGTGAAGCATGGTGGTGGCAGCATCATGCTGTGGGGATGTTTTTCAGCGGCAGGGACTGGGAGACTAGTCAGGATCGAGGGAAAGATGAACGGAGCAAAGTACAGAGAGATCCTTGATGAATACCTATTCCAAAGCGCTCAGGACCTCAGACTGGGGTGAAGGTTCACCTTCCAACAGGAAAATTATCCTAAGCTCACAGCCAAGACAATGCATGAGTGGCTTCGGGACAAGTCTCTGAATGTCCTTGAGTGGCCCAGCCAGAGCCCGAACTTGAATCCGATCTAACATCTCTGGAGAGACCTGAAAATAGCTGTGCAGTGACACTCCCCATCCAAACTGACAGAGCTTGAGAGGATCTGCAGAGAAGAATGGGAGAAACTCCCCAAATATTGGTGTGCCAAGCTTGTAGCGTCATACCCAAGAAGACTTGAGGCTGTAATCACTGCCAAAGGTGCTTCAACAAAGTACTGAGTAAAGGGTCTGAATAGTTATGTAAATGGTATATTTCTCTTTTTTTATTTTTAATACATTTGAAAAAAAATCTTAACCTGTTTTTGCTTTGTCATTATGGGGTATTGTGTGTAGATTGATGAGTAAAAATATCATTTTATCAAGAATAAGGCTGTAACGTAACAAAATGTGGAAAAAGTGAAGGGGTCTGAATACTTTCTGTATGCACTGTATATATTCAGTAAGAATAGAGAGAAATGGGCGACCAGAGGAGGGGGAGGAAGAGGAGAATAGACTGACAGATGGGGGAGGAAGACTGGGACTGACCAGGAGGACTTTGGTGGTATGATGGTTCTGGAAGGAGGACTCCTCTCTGTGGTTTTCTATGAGGGGAAATCAGACTGATTTTCGGTGGACTTATCACTTATAACACACAAACTGTGATACTTTGCATCCAATTGCATTCTCTGTTATTCTATGACTCTGCTCTTTGGTGAACTTAGCTCTGTTTTTCCAAACATTCTACCCCTTACTGCAATTATTCATCAACCTCAAACTTATTTTCTCTCTCCCTCTTCTCTAAACCCCTCTCTATCATCTCTTCCCTATCTAACCCATCTCCCTCCCCATTGCCCAGTGCCCTTTCTCACCCCACTTGGTGAGTTGCATGGCCACAGTGTGGTACACATTCTTCAATATGTTGGTGTAGACTGTGTGGGCTATAGAGGGCAGGTAGAGCAGAGCTCCAGAGAACAGGGATCCGCTGTCCTGATGGAAGCCCTGTACCAGGGCCTCTCCGTGGTAGAAGCCTGTCATGCCCAGCACCACCAGTCCCAGGAACAGCCCTACTAGGGGCAACGACACCAGGCCCACACGCAGCTGCCTCTGCCACTCCGGGAATAGGGGCTCCAGACGGCCTGTCACAGGGTTGATCCCCAGGGTGCCGTGGAAGCCAGGGCGGGGCTCGGCGAAGCGCTCAGTCAGGTGGCGTGTGCCCCAGCGGTGGGAGAGGGAGGAGCTCCGGCGCTTCCAGAACTCGATGAACAGCGTGGACCACAGCATGCTGAATACAGCCTGTACCATGTGACCGCTGACTGAGGGGCCATAATCTTCCTCCTCCTCCATCACCCACTCCCCGGCCTGCTCCTTCACAACCCCACTACCCAATCCACCGGCAGGCAGTAGAAAGGTCAGGACCAGGCCCAGGAAGGCAGGGGGCACCAGGGCCCAGGTGTAGAATTGCAGAAAGCTGAAGTAAAACGCCACGGTGCCTCCAAAATATGATTGTATTGCATCTGCACAGGAAGAGAGATATCATTAGTAGGACAAAGGAGTAAATGTTTGTGGAGTTGCTAGAGCTGGGCGATATGGACAAAAAGTAATATTGTGATAAATGTAACTATTTTGCTCGATAACAACAAATACAACGATAAACAAAACAAAATATAATGGACAGTTACTTTACATTAGCGGCAGGGCTCCGGATTTTTTTTTTGTCAATGCCAAGTAAGACAACTGAGATGGTAGCCGATAATTAAAGTAAGCTATTTCATCTAACATATCCAGGAAATTCATGATTGATATTTTGATGTGCAACCTGTCAAAATAGGATCCTGAATTATCAGATGTATTTTTGGCTCTTCAGAGAATTTGCTGACATCTTTGTGCATATTGGCCTAGAGCCTATACACACTTAGAAAAAAAGGTACTATCTAGAACTTAAAACAGTTATTCTGCTGTCCCCATAGGAGAACCCTTTGAAGAACCCTTTTTGGTTCCAGGTAGAGCCCTATTGGGTTCCATGTAAGAACACTTTTCCCAGAGTGTTCTACATGGAGTTCTACCTAGAACCAAAAAGGATTCTACCTGGAACCATAAAGGGTTCTCCTATGGGGACAGCCAAAGAACCCTTTCGGAACCCTTTTTTCTAAGACTGTATTATTCACCACCTGAGTAAGTGGGAAATCAAAACACAACTCTAAATATGATATTAGATAGCCATGTAGGCTAATTGATTAATCTATCAGTCAATGTAGGCTAATGTTTTACAAAATTGTTACAGCACCAGGCCTAGGCTACTTGATGCAGGCCTATTCACTGCAAATGGCGCGCTCCACTCGACTCTGCTAAGCGGGGGCGCATCAAAACCATACTAACTACAGCCTACTGCAGTTGTAAAGTGGTGCCATGAACTCAATATTAAGAGGTTAGAAATACATTCTAAACTCACAGAAAGCTGTGACTCTCCTCTCTGTAACTAGAACAACACTAGTTGCTTTGAAAACAATATTTTTCTCACAATAGCATTTTGAACAACGGTCATATGCTTGTGCTTCTCAGAATGCATCTCTCCCTCTGTGCACACGGTGGGAGATGGGAATGAGAGTCATCAGCCAACAGCAAAACAGGGACAGGCAGATACTTTCATAGCATAAATCAACATAATGCATAGGCTATTACTGTTGACCAAATAATGGTTTTAGCACAATCTACAAGAACGTTGTGTAGAGAAATCACAGAAAATTACCAACGTAAGCAAAATAAGAGTAAAGCAATGTCGGTGTCTGTAATTTTCAGTTTATCGTTATCAGCTCTAGTGTGTGTGTATGTAACCTTTTTGTGTTTGTGTTTACTGTATGTTGTTGTTTACCGAGAGGCTGTCTCCATATCTGCTTCTTAGAGGACCACCTTCTGCCGACTTCATTCAGTCTCTGCTGGTCATGTAGAGGGAAGATGTCCTTTATCACTCCTGCTCTCTCCAGCTTCTGACCTACAGTACAGACACAGGAGGGATGGGCTACATCAGGGATCTGTACAATATTACACATACAGACAGGTAACAAGGGGTAACATATCCAGAAGCTCGGCTGTATTACATTGTTAACACTATCCAGCATACGTAAGGGACAGTTCGTTGTAATTCTCAGAAGAATACAGATCACAGAGCAGTGAGAGAGGACAGGAGAGAGCACTGAAATGATCAGCCAGAGGTGGTGCTCTGCTCTGCTGCAGAACAGCTTAGCTAAGCAAGACCATGACATAGAGGACAGAACATGCTGAGGTAAGCAGAATGGCACACGTGCACAAACAGTACGCCCCTGCCCCCTCCCACCCCCTTACCAAGGCCTACTTTAACACTCCATAATGTTTCATCTCTAGGTGCTACAAAGCAAAAGTTTGTGCCATCTGAAGCTTTACCGCTTGCTCTGTAATATGAGTATTTTGATTTCAATAATATATTAAAGTTCCAGAATGGGATCTCTGCTACTTTTAGAGTTACGATCCAATTTGTATGCATTACCAACAGAGTGAATGTGAAAATGGATTCAAAATGGTTGCCCTCTGCTGGTGATTTGCAGGGTGTGCAATGATACAAGTAAAAGGAGGGCTGGGATTGGTTACGTTGCTAATATTATGTCAATGTATATTTCTACCCCCTTTTTCTCCCCAATTTCATGATTACGATCTTGTCTCATCGCTGCAACTCCCCAACGGGCTTTGGAGAGGCGAGTCATGCGTCCTCCGAAACAGGCTTAACACCTGCTCGAATAACCCGGAAGCCAGTTGCAGCAATGTGTCAGAAGAAACACAGTTCAACTGACAACCGAAGTCAGCCTGCAGGTGGCCGGCCCGCCACAAGGATTCGCAATAGCGTGAAGAGCCAAGTAAAGCCCCCCCGGCCAAACCCTCCCCTAGCCGGGACGGCGCCGGACCAATTATGCAATGCCCTATGGGACTCCCGGACACGGCCGGTTGTGACACAGCCTGGGATCGAACCCCAGGTTGTAGTGACGCCTCAACACTGCGATGCAGTGCCTTAGACCGCTGCGCCATTCGGGAGGCCATGTTAATGTCTCTGTATAAATTGGGACATAAGTTTAAAACTAGCAGAGATCCCACTCTGGAACTTTGATATGCCTGTAGAGTATATTATGTTCTACAATATATTGAAACATTTGCCAAATTGTATACTTTCAATATTCATGTTTATATTTTTTAATATTCATAAATTAATGTAAGAAATGTGTTATTGAAATCAAAATAATACTCATATCACAGAGAAAGGGGTAAACCTTATATGACACCAACTTTTGATTTGTATCACCTTGTATCACTTTGTAGCACACCATTATGGAGTCTTACAGTGGCTTGCGAAAGTATTCACCCCCGTTGGCATTTTTCCTATTTTGTTGCCTTACAACCTGGAATTAAAATGGATTTTTTGGGGGTTTGTATCATTTCAATTAAACAACATGCCTACCACTTTGAAGATGCAAAATATTTTTTCTTGTGAAACAAACAAGAAATAAGACAAAAAAACTGAACACTTGAGTGTGCATAACTATTCACCCCCCCCAAAGTCAATACTTTTTAGAGCCACCTTTTGCAGCAATTACAGTTGCAAGTCTCTTGGGGTATGTCTCTATAAGCTTGGCACATCTAGCCACTGGGATTTTTGCCCATTCTTCAACGCAAAACTGCTCCAGCTCCTTCAAGTTGGATGGATTCTGCTGGTGTACAGCAATCTTTAAGTCATACCACAGATTCTCAATTGGATTGAGGTCTGGGCTTTGACTAGGCCATTCCAAGACATTTAAATGTTTCCCCTTAAACCACCCGAGTGTTGCTTTAGCAGTATGCTTAGGGTCATTGTCCTGCTGGAAGGTGAACCTCCGTCCCAGTCTCAATTCTCTGGAAGACTGAAACAGATTTCCCTCAATAATTTCCCTGTATTTAGCACCATCCATCATTCTGGCCACTCTTCCGTAAAGCCCAGCTCTGTGGAGTGTACGGCTTAAAGTGGTCCTATGGACAGATACTTCAAAATCCGCTGTGGAGCTTTGCAGCTCCTTCAGAGTTATCTTTGGTCTCTTTGTTGCCTCTCTGATTAATGCCCTCCTTGCCTGGTCCGTGAGTTTTGGTGGGCGGCCCTCTCTTGGCAGGTTTGTTGTGGTGCCATATTCTTTAAATTTTTTAATAATGGATTTAATGGTGCTCCATGGGATGTTCAAAGTTTCTAATATTTTTTTATAACCCAAACCTGATCTGTACTTCTCCACAACTTTGTCCCTGACCTGTTTGGAGAGCTCCTTGGTCTTCATGGTGCCGCTTGCTTGGTGGTGCCCCTTGCTTAGTGGTGTTGCAGACTCTGGGGCCTTTCAGGTGTATATATACTGAGATCATGTGTCAGATCATGTGACACTTAGATTGCACACAGGTGGACTTTATTTAACTAATTATGACTTCTGAAGATAATTGGTTGCACCAGATCTTATTTAGGGGCTTCATAGCAAAGGGGGTGAATACATATGCACGCACCACTTTTCCATTATTTATTTTTTAGAATTATTTGAAACAAGTAATTTTTTTCATTTCACCACCAATTTAGACTATTTTGTGTATGTCCATTACATGAAATCCAAATAAAAATCCATTTAAATTACAAAATAGGAAAAACGCCAAGGGGGATGAATACTTTTGCAAGGCACTGTAAAGGAGGCCTGGGTAAGGCCACAAATATTCCAACTTCAACAAATTATTTCTCAAGTATGTTTTAAGATACAAATATCGAATACACTACCGGTCAAACGTTTTTGAACACCTACTCATTCAAGGGTTTTTCTTTATTTATACTATTTTCTACATTGTAGAATAATAGTGAAGACATCACAACTATCACAACTATGAAATAACACATATGGAATCATGTAGCAACCAAAAAAGTGTTACACAAATCAAAATATATTTTATATTTGAGATTCTTCAAATAGTCACCCTTTGCCTTGATGACAGCTTTGCACACTCTTGGCATTCTCTCAACCAGCTTAACCTGGAATGCTTTTCCAACAGTCTTGAAGGAGTTCCCACATATGCTGAGCACTTGTTGGCTGCTTTTCCTTCACTATGCCGTCCGACTCATCCCAAACCATCTCAATTGGGTTGAGGTCAGGTGATTGTGGAGGCCAGGTCATCTGATGCAGCACTCCATCACTCTCCTTCACACAGTCTCCTCTGAACAGTTGATGTTGAGATGTGTCTGTTACTTGAACTCTGTGAAGCATTTATTTGGACTGCAATTTCTGAGGCTGGTAACTCTAATGAACTTATCCTCTGCAGCAGAGGTAACTCTGGGTCTTCCATTCCTGTGGCGGTCCTCATGAGAGCCAGTTTCATCATAGTGCTTGATGGTTTTTGTGACTGCACTTGAAGAAATGTTCCGTATTGACTGACATTCATGTCTTAAAGTAATGATGGACTGTCGTTTCTCTTTGCTTATTTGAGCTGTTCTTGCCCTAATATGGACTTGGTCTTTTACCAAATAGGGCTATATTCTGTATACCACCCCTACCTTGTCACAAAACAACTGATTGGCTCAAACGCATTAAGAAGGAAAGAAATTCCACAAATTAACTTTTAAGAAGGCGCACCTGTTAATTGAAATGCATTCCAGGTGACTACCTCATGAAGCTGGTTGAGAGAATGCCAAGAGTGTGCAAAGCTGTCATCAAGGCAAAGGGTGGCTATTTGAAGAATCTCAAATATAAAATATATTTTGATTTGTTTAACACTTTTTTGGTTACTACATGATTCCATATGTGTTATTTCATAGTTTTGATGTCTTCACTATTATTCTACAATGTAGAAAATAGTACAAATAAAGAAAAACTCTGAAATGAATGTTCTAAAACTTTTGACCGGTAGTGTATATGTCAACAATACTTTCTCCAAAGGACCTTTCTATGGATAACATTTTGTGAAAATCCCCAACATCATGGTCGTTATTTGTTCTAGTTTTTTGAGGAATCACCCAACATCCCCATTTACATCATTATTCACATACCCCCCCCCCCCCCACACACACACACACACACACAGACACACAGACACACAGACACACACACGTAAAGACTCACAGATGTTCTCCCAGGCCTTCAGGACCCCTGGAGCCTCTGGGACTCCAGGGATTCTCTGCTTCTTCTGGGCCTGTAGAGAGTCCAGCTCAATCTTGACTATGTACTGACGCTCCGCTAATGTCAGGAACTCCTGCATGTCATCTGGTAACACAGACGACAGGTGTCAATCAAGACTGTCATATATATTACATGTAATATGTCATTTGGGCTATATTACCACAGTATTACAACAGTCAATGTGTATTTTGTTGATTCTATTCCTACAGAAGGTGTATTGGGTGCTGAAGATCTGTTACAACTTGTAACGGCTATTACCGTTAATATCCCTCTACTCTTCCCCCAGCATTACCAACATTCTTACCGACATTGGTGAAGTTGTCTCTGTCGTGGTAGGAGAAAGCAACCATCTCTTCATTGCGGTATTTCTTACACAGACCCAGATCCTCTGTGGCTCTGAGAAGGGTGCAGCGAGGAGCAGACACCACGATCACATTCCCACACTCATCCTCACCAGGGTGGGCCAGCAACGATGCTCCTAGTCCAGGGAGGAGGAGAGAGGGTCAGACCCGTCACCAGACCTCAGTCTTAAGGGGGGCATATGAAATGCATGGGAGGGCAGGGCACAATTATTATTAGCCTACAGTACGTATATTTAATAATACATTCCCTCAAGTGGGGGCGGGCCCGGCCCCCTATGGCCCGCCCATAGCGACGGGTGTGGAGAGGGTCAACTACAATACTCCTGCCTCTACTGCAGTGATCTTAGTATATGCTTATGTTTCAGCCCAGTACTTATTGACACACCTAATTCAGCTAATAAACTAAGATACATGGATGAATGCCCCCGCAGTTGTATTGTGCAACGTTTCATCAGGCTTAACCCACATGATAAAAGCAGTCAGTGGATGTGGATACACTACTTTGAAACTAGAGACTCAACTAATAAACTAGTCATCAAGCCCAGGTGAATCAGATGTGTTAATATTACTCGGCTGGAACAAAACAAGCAACACAGACTGAAGTACAGTCAGACCTCTGACCTGACCTCTCACCTCCGTGTCTCTTTGAAGCTTCAATCAGGGAGATGAGCCACCTCTTGGTGACAGGCTGGACGTTGTGTGACAGCTGGATGAGGACCAGTGGCTCCACCCGCTCAGACACACAGCAGAGACAGCTGACCTGCGTCCAGCAGCCCTGTGACAGGACCTTGGTCTGTGTCTGGACAGAGCCTTTATCACCCAGTGATGTCATCGCGTCCCTGTGGAGAGGCAGTGTGAGGAGGACAAGGAGTTTCACTGTATCTGTGATACAGCTATACACTCTGTAATCCACACATTTACATGGGTCATTCCAACAACAACAAAGGATTTAGACACCCACTGTCTCATAGTGTTCTAAAATGGTTTCTGTAGTTAGACATTATTATTTGGTTGAAATATAATTTGATCTGAGAAATTAAGCTAATAGATTGCACCTAAATTGGCCATTTTAATTTATAGGATTTATATAATATGTGTCCAAACTTTTGACTGGTAGTGTACATTGTGGTCATTCAGCAGACACTTATCCAGAGCAACATACAGTCAGTGCATTCAACTAAGGTAGATAAACAACAACATATCACAGTCATAGAAATGTAATACATACCAAATCATTGTGAATTACAGCCTGATTAATCAGACTAGCAGAGTTTGAACAGACAAGTAACTTCCTCTGGGCTCTGCCTCTGTTTACAGAGATACAACCTCAAATTTCAAGTATTAATGTCAAGTGCACAAGTACAGTGAAATGCCTTTCTTGCAAGCTCTAAACCCAACAATGCAGTAAACAATAACAATGTAGTACAAAAAATAACATAAGGTAGAACAAAAACACAAATAACAAATAAGAAGAACACAAGAAAGTAAGAAGCCATATACAAGATCAATTCTAATACCATATTTATAATGTGTAGGGATACTGGAGTGATAGAGGTAGATATGTATAAGGGTAAGGTGACTACGCATCAGGATGTATGATAAACAAAGTAGCAGCAGCGTAAATGAAGATTGTATGTATGTGCGTGTGTGTGCGTGTGTGTGCGTGTGTGTGCGTGTGCGTGCGTGTGCGTGCGTGCGCGTGCGTGCGCGTGCGTGCGTGTGCGTGCGTGTGCGTGCGTGTGTGTAGAGTAAATATGTTGGGCTCCCGAGTGGTGCAGTGGTCTAAGGCACTGCATCGCAGTGCTAGCTGTGCCACTAGAGATCCTGGTTCGAATCCAGGCTCTGTCGTAGCCGGCCGCGACCGGGAGACCCATGGGGCGGCGCACAATTGGCCCAGGGTAGGGGAGGGAATGGCCGGCAGGGATGTAGCTCAGTTGGTAGAGCATGGCGTTTGCAATGCCAGGGTTGTGGGTTCGATTCCCACGGGGGGCCAGTATGAAAAAATAATAATGTATGCACTCACTAACTGTAAGTTGCTCTGGATAAGAGCGTCTGCTAAATGACTAAAATGAAAATGTAAATATACACTGAGTGTACAAAACATTAGGAACATCTTCCGAATATTGAGTTGCACCCCATTTTGCCCTTAGAAGAGCCTAAATTCGTCGGCCCATGGACTTTACAAGGTGTCCACAGGGATGTTGGCCCATGTTGACTCCAATGCTTCATTCAGTTGTGTTGAGTTGGCTGGTAGTGGATCTCTACTCTGAATAGCTCGTTTCTTGTGGCATAGGGCATTATCCTGCTGAAAAAATCCACTGCTGCCATGAAGGGATGCACCTGATTGGCAATGATGTTTAGATATCCTGTGGCATTCAAATGTTGCTCCACTTTTATCAAGGGGCCCAATGTGTGCCATGAAAACACACCCCATACCACCACACCACCACCACCAGCCTGCAATGTTGACACGCGGCATGATGGATGCATGTACTCATGTGGTTTTCTCCATGCCCTAGTCCTCCCATCATCGTGAAACAGCAGGAACCGGGATTCATCAGACCAGGCAATGTTTTTCCAATTCTAGGGCTGTGGCGGTCACAACATTTCGTCAGCTGCTGATTGTCAAGCAAATAACTGTCGGTCTCACTGTAATTGACTATTAATTAACATAAACACATTTAGCATCTCCTGGCTTCCACACATACAGTGGGGGAAAAAAGTATTTAGTCAGCCACCAATTGTGCAAGTTCTCCCACTTAAAAAGATGAGAGAGGCCTGTAATTTTCATCATAGGTACACGTCAACTATGACAGACAAATTGAGAAAACATTTTCCAGAAAATCACATTGTAGGATTTTTAATGAATTTATTTGCAAATTATGGTGGAAAATAAGTATTTGGTCACCTACAAACAAGCAAGATTTCTGGCTCTCACAGACCTGTAACTTCTTCTTTAAGAGGCTCCTCTGTCCTCCACTCGTTACCTGTATTAATGGCACCTGTTTGAACTTGTTATCAGTATAAAAAACACCTGCCCACAACCTCAAACAGTCACACTCCAAACTCCACTATGGCCAAGACCAAAGAGCTGTCAAAGGACACCAGAAACAAAATTGTAGACCTGCACCAGGCTGGGAAGACTGAATCTGCAATAGGTAAGCAGCTTGGTTTGAAGAAATCAACTGTGGGAGCAATTATTAGGAAATGGAAGACATACAAGACCACTGATAATCTCCCTCGATCTGGGGCTCCACGCAAGATCTCACACCGTGGGGTCAAAATGATCACAAGAACGGTGATCAAAAATCCCAGAACCACACGGGGGGACCTAGTGAATGACCTGCAGAGAGCTGGGACCAAAGTAACAAAGCCTACCATCAGTAACACACTACACCGCCAGGGGCTCAAATCCTGCAGTGCCAGACGTGTCCCCCTGCTTAAGCCAGTACATGTCCAGGCCCGTCTGAAGTTTGCTAGAGTGCATTTGGATGATCCAGAAGAGGATTGGGAGAATGTCATATGGTCAGATGAAACCAAAATATTACTTTTTGGTAAAAACTCAACTCGTCGTGTTTGGAGGACAAAGAATGCTGAGTTGCATCCAAAGAACACCATACCTATTGTGAAACATGGGGGTGGAAACATCATGGTTTGGGGCTGTTTTTCTGCAAAGGGACCAGGACGACTGATCCGTGTAAAGGAAAGAATGAATGGGGCCATGTATCGTGAGATTTTTAGTGAAAACCTCCTTCCATCAGCAAGGGCATTGAAGATGAAACGTGGCTGGGTCTTTCAGCATGACAATGATCCCAAACACACCGCCCGGGCAACGAAGGAGTGGCTTCGTAAGAAGCATTTCAAGGTCCTGGAGTGACCTAGCCAGTCTCCAGATCTCAACCCCATAGAAAATATTTTGAGGGAGTTGAAAGTCTGTGTTGCCCAGCGACAGCCCCAAAACATCACTGCTCTAGAGGAGATCTGCATGGAGGAATGGGCCAAAATACCAGCAACAGTGTGTGAAAACCTTGTGAAGACTTACAGAAAACGTTTGACCTGTGTCATTGCCAACAAAGGGTATATAACAAAGTATTGAGACACTTTTGTTATTGACCAAATACTTATTTTTCACCATAATTTGAAAATAAATTCATAAAAAATCCTACAATGTGATTTTCTGGATTTTTTTTCTCATTTTGTCTGTCATAGTTGACGTGTACCTATGATGAAAATTACAGGCCTCTCTCATCTTTTTAAGTGGGAGAACTTGCACAATTGGTGGCTGACTAAATACTTTTTTTCCCCACTGTAGCCTACAAGCCATTAATGCAGACCTTTGGAACATCTACATAAAAAAAAAAAGTATAATAAATCCATGTAATATAGCCAACACCTTCACAATAAATCCATTATTTATTTTAGACAGGTCTAAAGAAGCATGATATGAAGAAAATGTAGTCTACTTCAGAAGAACAGAAAAGCATACTCTGAGTTATGTTAGGTCCCGATCTGGCTATGCCAAATGGGCTACACTAGTTCATTTAGCAGACAAGATTTGCTTAGAATTCCGTGGCATTATTTTAAATTATTTCATAGTATGAAGAATACAATTGAACAAATCTGAATAAAATATAAATATTTTCTCCAAACGATTTGAGGGAGTGTGCACATGCAGCTATTCTGTGTTGAGCGGTTAACAAAGAAATAGTGGCTGGGAGTGCTGCCTTGTGCCCTTCCCCCTGAGTGCTGCAAGCTCCTAAGCACCTCTCATTCACATGGCTCTCCATCACGTGATCGGGTCTTTCTCACAGGCTACAAGTGAAGACAGACACATTGGTGACGCAACTGTGCGCATCGAAGGTGCGTATTGAAGATATTGGAAGAACTGTCCACATTTGCTTTTCGTTAGCCAACAATATGAGTAGGCCTAACGGACAGCAAAAGCACAAGCCTATGTCAATCTACTATCCCCCATAGTACAAAAGTCGACTTATTCTATTCTGTGCGAGAAATAAATATTCCAAACATAGTCTGGGACAGTAATAACAACTAGCATCCAAAAACTTTTTTTTACGCTATGTGGCTGACGCAACAGATCAGAACATGTAGCTTAAATGTTTTATAAACTATTAGGCTATTTCTTCACATTATAAGCGCAGCAAGGCGCACAAGGCAGTAGGCTATAAGCGGGAATGTTCCATTAGCTGGAAAACACCGTTATCAAAAGGCTGCAAATGTGATTATGCATGTAATGCTTTTATTATAAAGGTGCATTTCTATGGTGAAAATTATCTTCCCTAAACTTGAAAGTCATGCGCTGTTTATGTTTGCCAGTTAGGCTCTAAACCCCTTGTAAAGCGGATTAATGTGCTTAATTTTAAGAAGTTGTTTGGCCACTTTAGTTGTGATACAAACCTTATCAAAACATATAGGCCTATGGGCTATGAGGTGTGCGACTATGATTAGAAAAAGTCACACAAAAAAGCAGTTGCTTATACTGGGCATCATTCACAAGGGATAATATATCATTCACAAGTGATAGGCTAATATTGTCACCCATCAGACTATTCTTGATTTAATCTTGTCTTTACATATACTGAATAATATATGTGTGAACTTTGTTTTGATTTAGAATGGACCATTATCATGCACCTGTCTCGAAACAGGGGCAGTGGGAAAAAATACATGTAATCTCCTCTTTTTAGTAGAGACCATCACTCTGTTTTCTCGCGCAATTGCATAGCCTATAGAAATGTTGCGCAACATGAGCTCATGGGCACTCATGAAGTGTTTGATTATATTTTGGATAACTTTTGCATTGATGTCAGAGTG